GGGGGGCAGACTGTCCCTACCGGGGATGATGGACGTCCACGGGGGGGCGTGTCCCCGTGTGTCTCTGCAGATTTAAGGTGGAACAACATGGGTCTGCTGGGGGGCCGGTCCCTGCTGGAGGCTCTCCGCACCAACAGGAGCCTCCTGCAGATGGAGGTGGCAGGAAACAACATCCCCAGCGACACGCTGAGGGCTCTGGGTAGGCACACCCATTCAGTCCTGTTCAGAAAGCTGTGAACAGGGCTGTTTGCACCATGTCCAGATAGATCTGGACTGCAGCCTCTGGAGGTTGAGCTTCTGTTACTGTGTGTTCTGACCCTGCCAGAGCAGACGATAGGACACAACTCAGACAGACAGTCCACTCTGAGGGAGACCAGCAGCAGGACCCAGGTCCTCAGCAGGGAGATCCAGACTCTGAGGGAGGAGAAGGGCCAGCAGGTACCCGCTTATGTGTCCGTACTGTCCACCCCCAGGAGATCAGGCCTCCTTTAGCTGTTAGTGTCTTTCTGTAAAGGCTGGGTCCTGTATCCAGGGGGGCTCCTCTGGGGGGCTCCTGCTCAGGGGGGGCTCCTCAGGGCGGGCTCCTCCTCAGGGGGGGCTGCTCTGGGGGGGCTTGTTGGAGCTCTTAACTCCTGAACAATGTTAATGTTATTCTCACCTGTAAAGAAAAGGGCAGGTTTTGGTTACAGGCTGTATTTTGGTTGGATTGGGACCAGATGTGAGTTCTGTGATGGTTTGTTGTCCCTCTCAGTTCCTCAGCCTGATGGAAACCATCGACAGGCAGAGGGAGGAGATGGGGCGGAGCCATAGGTGAGCAGAGACACCCAGATACTATTAGATTATAGAAATGAGCTTTAAAACTTTTTCCATCTGAAACTAGTTAGTCTAAGAAGAGATGTACTAAAGGAACACGTGTTTTGTTACAGACATATGTTTTTTGATGATATTTTAAATTCTCTTTCATTTCTTTTCTTTCACATTAGGTCCTCTTCTGTTCAGATGTGTCAACTCCAAGAAGCTTTGAATGAGAGGAAGTCAGCTGTTAACTCTCTAACTGCAAAGTAATCCTTATTCAGAAATGGGGGAGGCTGTATAGTTTAGTTGTGTGGACATAAACGTGTTGCCCTGTTTGACACAGCACAGACAGTCAAAGCTCAGGTCTGAAGCCAGTCACATGAAAGGAATATTTCCCAGTCCTGTTGGTCCCCGAGAGGAAAAACTGGGATTCTGACACTGGAAACAGACTTAAACTGTCTCATTATGCCAACAATCCAAACTCCTACAACCTGTCGTTCACAGCAAACATTCAATCATATCAGTTCATCTCCCACTGATTTAAGGCAAAGCTTTTGAGGGTTTCTTTCTGCGTGCAGTGAAACATGAAATCCACATAGAAAAGCATTTTCCAGGTGTGAACTGGTAAACTGTGTTTAGAGAGCTGTGCCCCAGAATCTGTTGACTTCAGTCTTAGGGTTAAATCAGTTTTCATTCCAAAGTGAGGCTGGCCTGAGGGTCATTTTTCAGAGAGCTGCTGGCTGTTTAGCGCTGACCAGCCTCAGAGTTCCTGACCTGGGCTTTCTGCCGGGCTCCAGGCTGCAGATGACGGAGGCCGCCCTGGCTCTCTCCGAGCAGAAGAACCAGAGTATGGGGGAGCTGCTGTCCAGGGCCAGGGCCGAGACGGAGGAGGAGAAGGAGCAGCAGAGCAAGCTGAGGAAGAAGGAGGAAGAGGTAGCCATCAAAGCTTCTACTCTGTGTTTTCAGAAGTGTAGTGTTCTGCTGGACTGAGGCTGAGCCGTCTTTAGCTTTAGCAGCTTTGAACCTGCTTAAACACCTGCCATGAACACATTCATTCTCAGATGAGATGCAGCCTCTCAAACACTGATGTTATCACAAATGATGAAGCAGGATTAAGAGGAAGCACTGTCAGTTGTTCCCTCTCAGTGATAAAAGTTGGTAGGAGGTCCAGTTTATGATTCACAGAGCAGGATCATGATATTATAATGAATGTTGATATTTAGTCTGAATGCTAAAGTCATCCATTCTTGTTCAGCTGTTTGTTTCTGCACAGGAATCCTTCCTGAAACAGCATCAGAGCTACAGACAGACAAACAAAACCAGCTCCTACAAATAAAGTTCTATCCATAGAATAAGACAAAAGATGTTAAAGTCTGAATTAACGGTAACTTAAACATTAGTATAGAAAATAAACAATAATTTAAGTCAGCAAAACACACATAACTCCACACAAAACATATTTTTGTAACATACCTTTTTCCCACTTTTAGCCAGGTGCCTAAAAAATGTGTGGTTAAATCTTTAAAGTTGGGAAATATTTGTTCTATCCTTCACAGACCCGTATCCGCTCCGTACAGTCAACCGTTTTTCCGTTAGACCCACTTCCAGCCCGGGAGCACAAAAATAAAAGCATGTAACCATAAAAATGGAAACAACAAAAAAAATAAAAGCATACAGGCAGCCATAGTGTCACTAAAACACCTTTTTAAGAGTTCATTACAACTCTTATGGAGCAAGCTGGCCATCGCAAATGTTTAATAATACATTTAGGAATACTTAAAATAATTCATGATAAAATCAATTGAAAATTATTCAAAACAACATTTTCATTAAAGTTGACCGTTGCAAATTGAAAGTGGAGCTTCTGTATATCTGTCTGATGGCTGTCTCCTCTCTCCACTCTGTAGAATAGTGCACTAAGGGAGGAGAAGCTCAGGAGGGAGGTCCAAAACCTGCTGGAGAACAATGGCCAGCTCAAGAATAAAGTATGACAGCTGCTGGTTAAGTACCCTGTGAAGCTGTTAGCACACACTCAGTCTGATAGTGAGGGCTGGTGGTGTGTGAAAGGTGTGTGAATGGTGTGTGAGGACTGAATGTGTGAATGGTGTGTGAGGACTGATGGTGTGTGAATGGTGTGTGAGGACTGATGGTGTGTGAATGGTGTGTGAGGACTGAG